ATTTTATTTTTATTTATTTTAAAAAAATAAATTTTTTTAAAAAAAAATTTAAGTAAATTAATAAAACTGTCATTCAATGATTAATAAAGTGAATATATTTCTGACAATAGTAAAATTATATTTGTGTAATGAAATCAGTAATCATCTACTATAACGAATTATTCGTTATACATACCACATAATTTGTTATAGCGTTAACAAAGATTCTTATAACGAAGTTCTGATCGGCTGGATCAGCAACTTCATTATATCGAGGTGTGACTGTATACTATTTAATAATTTTTATTTACAAACTTATTAAATTATGAATTCAATAAATAATAAATTAATTTAAAACTAAATCATTTAAAATCTAATTGATTAACTATCTAAATTACATAAAATTTCTATTCTATTGATATAAAACTTTTGATCTACTTTTACTATTAATTTAAGATAAAGCAAAACCTAATAAACTACAAAATATTATAAATATTATTAATTTATTTAATAAGTTTAGTTAAGTAAACCTTTTTAACTATATTAATATATTTAACTTAGTTAACTTTGTTAATGATATTATATAGTTTTAATTAGTTATTTATCAAATTATAGTTAAGGAATTACAATTTCATTTAATAATGATTTATAAAATTATCTTTAATTACTCTTTTTAAAATATTTCGCTAATTATTGATCTAATAAAATCATATTTATATTTATTAGAAAGTTTTTATTAAAATAATTCTAATATGATATTTCTATTAAAATCTAATTATTAGATTAAAAGTTATTTTATTTAACAGTACATTTTCTTTAATAAATTAATACAGTTAACTCTTGATATAGTGAACTCTTGATATAATGAATTTTTTGAAAAAATATAATAAAAATACTTTTATTATAGTGAATTTGCTAATCAAATCTATTAAAATCTTCACTATAATCTTATAGCGAAATTAAAATCTAGAACATAGAGTTTGTTATAACAAGAGTTAACTGTAAATTAATTAAATATAAGTATATATTATTACAATAAATATTTAATTATTATATTTACTTTTCATTTTAATAAACATCTGTTCTATTTGATATAGTTTTCTTTTTTAAAATACCTAATTAAGAATATCATTTTGTAAATTATCAAAAGAAATATTAATATCTTTTATATTTTTGTATTAATAGTATATCACTTTTTAATATAATTAAATTAAAAAGTAATAAGTAATATATCATTTAAATTAAATTATAGAATTTTATACTATTATCTGTTTATTTTATACTATAATTTATTTATTATCACTTTTTAATTTAATTATTATTTTATAAATTAGTATCAATTTATTAGTATAAGGTAAGAAAAAATTTATTTTTGTAATTATAAACTGTTTTTTTTAACTTTCTAATCATTTAAATTTTATTTTTACAAATTATCATAAAGGATAACTTATAAATTCTAAATATTTAAAATAAATAATATTAATATTAAGTCAGAAAATGAGTTGTTAAATAAATTGATGAAATTTGATCAAAATTCTTCATTATTATACTTAGTTTCTTCATTATCATATTCAATTAAATTCTTTTTTGATTGCTTTAAAATCTAAGAAAAAAAAATCCAGTAAAAAAAAGAAAGTTAAAATAGAGTTTTAATATCATCAATAATAATTCTATTAGACATTGTAATTCTTCTCTAAATTCATTTGATAGATTAATTATTGAAGTAAATATTAAATTAAATGGTAAGAATTAGATTATATTTTACATATATGTATTTTTACAATTTTATAATAAGTTTAACACATATGTAAGATAATTGTAAAACTTAGCATTTTTTATAAAGAAAAAACTTTAACTAATAAAAAAAATAAGAAATAAGAAATTATAAAAAAAGTTTTAAGACTTTAATAAATCTAAATTTTTTATTTTTTTGTATTTTTATGTAAAATATTTTATGAATAAAGAACAAAGCAACATAAAAAAAAAAAAAAAATGAAAGATCAAGTAAAATTATTGATTTTGATAATCAACAAAATGTAAAAAGTTAGGTAAAAAAAAAAATAAAGTTATTTTTTTTTTTTTTTAACCTTTTTTTTTGAGGATAAATGCGAATTTTGTTTGTTTATATGAATATTAATGTTTAGTATTGTACGAAAAACTTTGATGATGTAAAGGAAAAATCGAATGATGTATATGAAAATACGAAAAATGAGAATTTAATAAATGTAAAGCGGTATAAAGGTAATGTATATAACAAGAGAGCACAAAGAGAATAAACCAGTTAAATCTTCGTGTTGGTGATGAAAAATTTATGCAATTGCATAAAAAGGAAAAAGGAAAATTCTATAGGCTCTATTGTTATTAATAATATCAAATAAAGAATAATAATAAAAAAATAAAAGCTTAAAAAAAATTGCAAAAGTTAATTACATGGAAATATTATTAATAAAATACATAGATTTAAACTTAAATATCGATATAAAATATTCGATAAAACTTAAAGGAATTAATGTTGAAAAGAAATTAAGACGTAAAGAGTGGAAGGTGAAAAGTAGAAAAGTCAAAACTAATTATGAAATGTTCATTCTACATTAGAGAAGATCCAAAGAAGCAAATCAAGAAACAGATATACGCCTTTCCAGAGATTCTAACCGGGCTTTCAAACCACTCAAAATATCTTGATAATCTTTGGTTTGAGACTCCTCAGAACCACTACTCGAAGAAACAGCAGACAATGGTGGACTAGAGTTAGTAAGTTGACTAACAGATAAATATTGCGATGAACTATTATCTGCATCTTGAGTTAAGGTGGAAGTGTCCTTATTATGACTAAGTCCTATATCACTACATGTTGTGCTAATGTCGCTTAGTCTTCTATCTGGATCCAACGGAGGACTTGGACCCATTCCTACAACAGCTGCGCTACTACGTATACGTTCTTCAACCTTTGAAAGGCGTTTCTCTAAAGTCATCAAATCATTGACAACTTCCCTTTGCATTTCACGAAAATGTCCACGAACTAAACTTTCAATCATACTTCCTGAAGCTTGAAGCGTTTGAAGAAGGGTAGTTGTCTTACGAATTTGATCTTCAAGTGTGGTTTTAAGTGAACGAGTGTCAGCTACTGTATCATAAAATGAATCAAAAAGATGAATAAAAGATTCTTTGGATGGTTGTTCTCCATTTGACGTTGGGTTTGTAACAGACATAGATATACGAGATGGATTAGGACTAGGAAGAGGACTTGAAGAAATTCTACCGGATCGAACATCATTTATATTATTAGGAGAAATAAGTCCATTTATACTTGCACTTGTAGAAGCAGAATGTGTATTTAAAGATTGGCCTGTAGGACGAAAAGCTGAGTTTGCTGATAAAGGAAATCCAGAAACGCTCTGTCTATTTGGAGCTGATCTATTTAATGAAATTGGAGCTGTCATAGGTGATTGCACATGATATGCTAGACCCGCAGAATTTTGTCCACGAACTTTACTAACGCTAGGTAAGGCGGAAGATACCACGATTGAACCATCATTATAAGGTGGAGCAAAAACACTAAGATTTCTTGAATTACGATTACTTCTATTTGAAACAGAATTTCGCTTTGACAATGCGTTAGAGGTTCTGTTAGAATCTAAAGCACCTTGTGATGTATTCCTTGAAGATGTGTTAATTGATCTTTGAGCTGCCGAATTATTATAACCAGCAACAGAATGCCTTCTATCAACAAAATTTTTTTGTTGTAAAATTTGTTGTTGTGCCTGTCGTTGTCTCGCTTCAATTATAGCTTTCTGTTGCTGCTTCAATTTAAGAGTGTTTCTAACCTGTTCCATAACTTCTGGATTATTAGTAACTTTTATATTATTAGATCCTATAGCTGATGCAGCAACACGTCTCCTCTTATTTGTTCTAATTTCTTCTTCTACTACTTCACCAGAAAGTAATGGTGACGAAGGTGAATGTGGTGGTCTAGGCGAATGATTTGGTGAAGAAGAGTTAGAATGCTCGCTTCCAGAATAAGCCGGTGAAGGTTCTTGTTTAATCGGTGTTCCCCTATAATTTCAGAATAAATAAATAATTATTAAATTATTTGGTAAGATTATTTGATTAGACATATATCAATCATACCTATCTGATTCTGAGGGCGAAACTGTGCGTTCGATTGAGGAACATCTTTTATTATCTGTGAAATCTAAAACTGCCTCTAGGGACATGCGCTTCCTTCCACTAATCGGTAGTAGAATTGAATGTTCATCATTTGGTGACGTTGTTGAATTTACTGTAAAAAATTCAAACTCTGCTTCTACAGCAGGTGTACGACTTATATCAACACTTTCTAATAATTTATCGGCCATTCCCGATATTATTTCTGATCGACCATAACTGCAAAATTCGGCAAGCAAATGATTTCCTAATATAGTTCCGGTTTCCCTTATAGCACAAGCAGCTAAATATATATCACCAGAACGTTCATAGAAACAATATCCAGGTGTATCAAAATATATTTGAGGAATCTTTCCTGATTTATGTATGAAGCCTATTTGTGATTCAAAAAATATAACATCAATGTCCCTTAAACGATAAAATGGTTTATATAAAGTAGTCCTTGAAAGAGACGGAGAGGAAGCCACCAAAGGAAATAAGTATAGAAAAAATGGTTGCTGGTTGGCATATACACCGAGTTGAAGTCTTGTAACTTTCATGGTGTAAAAAACTGTAAAAATAAAAGGAATGTAGAAATTAGTTGGAAATGAAAAAAAAAAAAAGAATAAAGGAAGAAAACAAAGATAAAGTAGCGGATAAAAAGATATGAGAAAGTTTTTCGGAATTAAGGAAAAAAGAAGGTAGAAAAATAAAGGAGGGTATTTTCAAAGTTAAAAGACTGTGTGATCCTGAAGCAGGCCACAAATGAGTTTAAAAAACAAACCAAAAATTGGGTTTGAAAAAGAGTAAATGAATGGAAGGTTATGGCACGTGCAAAACAAAGTCCTTTGAACTTGAAAGAAGATGAAATAACCAGGAGTAATTTTGTTTCAAAAACTAAAATTCGTTGATTAAAAAACTGGAATCGAAATGTTTTGTCCACAAAGTTTATTATTTAAGGTTACTCAAGGTTAATAACTTTACCCAATTATGTTATAGTGTTCTGGATATATGTGCAAAAATCTGAAGATCATTAAATGTTCGGCATTGAACATATCTTTGCAAACAAGCTGATAAATGCTTCAATATATTTACTTGAAATTGAGATTCAAAGTTTCAATTTTAATGAAATTAATAAACGGAAAGGGTTGTATAAATGAACATGCGACTGATAAGAAATACTTTCTGATTCCGCAAATCTGAAACAAATTCATAAAATGATTGTGACCAACCACATCGGATAATTATTGTTACATTAATTGATTAATTGCAAAGTTTGATCGTTACAAATTTATTCAATTTTAACAAACTTTACGTTCCTTTATTCTTAGATTTTTTCTTTTTCTTCTTTTTCTTATCTCTTTCAGCCAGATATAATGATAAGAAATCACTTCCCAATTGCTTCTTAGAATTCGTTATTGTTGTTATTGATGATACGTCATCGCTACTCGACGAGTCAACCTCTAAACACAAGGAGTTTAGCTTTGATTTCTTTGAGACTATAGAAGCTTTACTATCTTCTTTTAAATCTTCTCCCTCTTTTTCATTTTTGTTTGTACGTTTCAAATTCTCCTTTTTTGAGATCATTGGATATAATGAAACTCCATCCTCGCCAACTTTTCGAAAATTCTTTTGTGTTAATTTACGTTTAAGTATCATCTCTGAAACTGCCTTATCCTTAATCCCATTCATTCCAATCCTGAAAAAAAATTTTGTTTGAATTAAATTTCGAGAATTGTAAAAGTTTTAAAATTATTATTAGTTGATATACCTAGAAGCATGACGCTCTTGAATTGACTTGGTTAACTCTTTTTGTCGTATAAGTTCTTCTTTTTCTTCCTTTGCCTCTTCTTCGGGATTTGGAGGTGGTAACCAAGAATCAACTAAAGAAGAAACCATATCGAAAGAAACATCTAATTTAGTTCGTAATACCTCTAATTCTTCAAGACGTCCTTGTGAAATAGACATATATAAAAGAACCGAGAAAAATTCTAAAAATTTAAGGTTTACCTTTTTGGCTAAATTAAAGTTATAAATAACAGTAAATTTGTCAACTGCACGTGATCTTGATACCGATTTCTAAAATGGAAATAAACCGGTAACAAAAAATTGCTTCAAATTTTTTTAACAAATTTAAAAATTTAACTTAATAATTAATACTTTTTAGGTTTATTTAATATAATTATAAAAGAATATTGCCAATAAAATGTGTTTAGTTTTACCCTTTCATATTCTTGATATTATTAACTGACATTTATATTCTTTTATTTGCTATGAAATTTTTCAAACTTTCAAAGATATGTTCTTGTATTTTTATTAGTTTTTCTATTATTTTTTGATTAATATAACCAATAATTTTAAGTTTTTTTTTTTAAATTGCTATTACATTTTCTTTAAAATATAAAAGAAATTAGATAATTTCAAAAATGATAAAATTTGTAAAAATTTTATTACTTCATTATTTTATTGCTAGAATAAGATTACTATTGATATAAAGTTCTTCTTATATCAGTATTATATTTTTTATTAAATTTAATAATAACTTATATGAATCAGCAAGTATTTTCACTTTCTTGTTTTAATAAATTTCTATTTGATTTGCATTAGTATTAATACTAAATTTTTTGATTAATTATTATATCCTTTTTTTTATATAAAAATATTTTATATAATTGATCAAGTATTTATTTTGATCAGATTTATTATTAATATTATTTATTATAATTATCTTAATTTTAAAAAGATATATTAATACAAAAAAATTTGAGTTCAAATAATAATTATCAGTTTAGAGCAGTAATTATCAGCTTAGAAGAATTTGCTAAATTATATATATATACTTTTATGCAATAAAATATAAGTAGATTATCAGTTAACATTATATTTAATAAAAAGAAAATATATTTAATTAGTATTTCTATTTTTTTTTTAAACAAATGTAAAAAAATGTAAAAAAGTGTTTAATTGTAATAAAGAATTTTCTTTATAGATTAATAGTGATAATAAAACTATATATTGTTACAGTCAGTTCTTTAAGATGCTTATGAGTGATAAGTGAAGCAATATTTATGAGTGATAAGCAGAAGGTTTAATTTGATAATTAGATTTAGAAGAGTATTGGTAAATTAACAGTTTATTTAATAACTATAACAATGGAGTACTGCCCTAGTCAACGCTCTATACTATACAATTATGTTAAGGAAATTAAACTAAACTATTTAATAAAACTATAAGTCAGACACACTATTAGGCTAAAAGAAATTATCCTCTATTTATACAAAGTAAAAAATATAAAGTTATCAAAGATATAAAAGAAATAAATAAAATATATGAAATATATAAGATAAATAAAATATAATAAATATATGAGATAAATAAATTAATATAAATAAAGAAATATATTGTATAAAAGAAACATATGCTATAGATAACATAGATGACATAGATGACATATATGATTTCCTAAGAATCAATGTTATCCTTTAAATCATCATCATCTATGTCTTCTTTTGTATAATATCACTTCCATTCAAGATTTTGCATCCTCGTATAAATCTTAATAATTTTATCAATTAGATCATTATATTTCGCTATTAATAATTCAACTATCAATTTAAGGGTGGTTATTTTACTTTGTACAATCTGCACTGGTCTAAAAAATTCAAAGAGATAATATATTTGTATAGATACATATACACTAAGCGAACTGTAAGATCTTCTATTTCTTCTATAAGCTTTTCAAAATAAAAGACATTTATCAGCATTAGAACACAATTGTTCATTCATTTAGCCCTTTATAGTATTTGATTTGCAAGGAAGAACTTCATTTCCAAAGGTATAGTTTTGCTTTAAGGTAAAGAATATATCTTAATTACTTGGGGTATAGGTCAGCATAAATTAATTAAAAATTCTGAAAAAATGTTTCAGTATAGGTAAGGGCGCTTTCAACTTTTTCATTTTATTAATTTATTAATTTCAAGTTAGACTCCCTCCTATTTAAATATTTTTCAGCTAAAATGTTTTAGCATTTTTCATAAATTTCTTCAATTTTCAATTAGTACAATAGGTTAAGGCAGATCACGCTGGTGATACTATTTTAATTTATTACCATTTATAGGTATTTTTAGGATCTTCCTGTCTAACATTTTCAATTTGTATACTCCATTTCCAAGATCAGCATAAATGTAATACGGTTCCTTCTATCTTTCCTCAAGCTTCTTTTTATCTTGTAAATTACTTTATATATTAGAACTAATTCTCTAACTTTAAAATTAACACTTCCTTTTAATTTGCGATCATGTTACTCCTTTTGTTTCTTTTGAAAGTTTTAAATATTATTTTGTGCTTATTATATTTCATTATCCATCTTTCTAGTTATTTGTCATACACGATTAATTAAATTTTCTTATTCATCTATCATTATATTTTGTATGTCTGACGTTTGTACTTAAAATTCGATCGACAATGTAGCATTTTTCCTATAGGTTAAGTAAAAAGGTTCATGTCATGTAGTACTATGCCTTTTGTACGATATGCAAATAAGGTAGATGGTAGAAAATCATCTTAATCATTTTTATTTTCATTTGCGAATTTTGCTAATATTTTACACAAAGTCCTATTAAATCGTTCGATAAGACCATTAGTTTGAGAATGATATGTAGTTGTTAACTTATGCTTTACTCTCAATTCTTCACATAGAGAATCTAGCATTTGATTTACAAAATGCGTTCCTCTATCAGTTAATAATTCTTTAAGGCATCTATGTCTACAAATTATATCCTTATAAAAGAAAGAAACTACTAAAGATACTTTTGCGTTTATAAGAGCTCTGGCTTCAGGCTACTTAGTTAAGTAATCAGTACTACTACAATATAATTATTTCCTTTATTTATCGTGAGTAAAGGTCCAATAATATCCATTCCTACTTGGTCAAAGGGTTGTCCAACTTTTATAGGATGCAATAGCTCAGTTTTCTTATTTTTACCTTTCCTTTGATATTCATCACAAGTTTGAACATATCATCATACATCATCATACATTTGTGACTAATAGTACCTTACTTTGACTCTTCTGTAGATTTCCTCTAATGCAAAATGTCCTGTCAAAGGATCAGAGTGCAAATTTTATAATATAATATTAACTTCATTAGTTTTTATAACTTTCAAAGGTCGTTAGGATTCTTGTTTATTCTTTTTGTAAAGTTGTCCTTCTATCATAATAAAATATCTTGACCTTCTTTTAATTGCTGCTTGTTGCTATTAGTTTAAATATGTTGGCATTTTAAGTTCTGATAAATAGTGTACCAGTGAAAAATATGTATCTGAATCCATAGTTGAGTTAAAATCAAAATCTATTATCTGTGAGAGTGTTCGCAAGAATAAATCTATTTACTTTTGTAAATTTGTTGAAAAACTCTTTAGTGTTGTATCTAGCTTAAAGTATCTACGTTTAAATGAAATTTTTCAGGACAATTAATAATTTCTATATCATAAGAGTTAAAAGTCATTAGCCAACGTCTAAGTCATTTAACAGGATTTTTCATATTTTTCAAATAGGCCAAAGCAGCATGGTCAGTTATTACTGTAAATTTATGTTTATATAAATAAATATCTTTTCAATCATTCAAAAGCATCTTGTTACTCTTGTGTCCAAATGAAAGAAGTATTCTTTTTAAATAATTTATTTAAAGGTTCGATAATATTAGCAAAGTCTTTTATAAATCTTCTGTAGTATGATGTTAAAGCAATGAATCTTCTAAGTTGTGTCAAATATTTTGGTACTAAAAAGTTTTTTATGATCGCTATTTTGTTTAGATCTATTTGAATACTTTCTCCGCTAATCACATGTTCAAAGAATGGTAATTCCTGTTCAAAGAAGAAACACTTTTTTGGGTTTAGTTTTAGTCTAGCTTGTCATAAATGTAAAAATACTTGTTCTAGTTATAGGAGATGTTTGTCAAACATTTTAGTACTAATGTTAATATCATCAATATATATAACCATATTTTGCTATAAGATATCACATAAAATGGTATCCATTAATCGTAAAGTTCAAAGAGCATAACATTAAACTCATATATGCTAAATTTAATAATGAATGTAGTCTTTTCTCTATTCTTAGGATCTAATTCTACTTGTCAGAAACTACTTGTAAGATTCAGTGAAGTAAACCATCTGGATCCTTCTAACGTTTCTAACATATCATCAATGCGTGGTAAAAGATAGTTATCTTTTTTAGTGACGCTGTTTAGCTTATGATAGTCAACACATAAACGTTTCTTGCCATTTTTCTTTTCCACTACTATAATAGGCAAAGTCTATTGACTTTTGGAGGGTTGTATAAGTCCTAATTTTAGCAGGTGATCAATTTCTTCTTTTATAAACTCTTAGTTTTTATACGAGATTCAATAAAACCTTTACTTGATTAGCATTGCATCTCTAGTGTCAATGAAATATGTGATAAGATTTGTTCTTCCAAACTAATCATTTTCCCAAATGAATATATCGACATATTGAAACATGAATTCATTAAATCTTTTAATTATTGTGCTGTTAATCGTTCAGTATGAAAGACTCCTTTTCTATTTCCTTATATTGATAAAAGCATTCCTTTATATTTTGATTTTCCATTATAAGCTTTTCTAACTCTTTGTCAATCTTTTGAGCTTTTTCAACTGGATTTCTTCAGAATAACAGAATAATCCTTCTTGTTCATTTTCCTCTTCATTCTCTTCTTCATATTTTTCTTCTTCATATTCTTCCTCACTTTCATTATTATCAATTTGTTCAATTCTAATTAAAGACGATTAGCGAAATTCAATAAGAACATTGATTGTGTATTTTTTCCAGTACAATGTCATAATTTTATTTCTGTAACTTATTTCTGCATCTGTCTTCTCTAGCCAATCATTTTCTACAATTACATCATAGGAATTTGTTTCAGTTACAATTGCGTCAAAAGAAATTATT